AAAATATAACGCTTGGCAGAGCAACAGTATACTCTACACATTATTTTCCAATTTTTTTTACCAATCGTGGTATATGTCTTTATACTTCTGTCCGAGCACCTCCACAGCCTCGTCGACCCTCTCTATCTCCAATACATATCTATCTGTGGCTCCTATTCAGATACCAAATCCGGCCCGGACTTAAGGCTTTTTGACGATCAATGACATCAATTATGAGGAGACATACGTAAGCAATAGTGCTTGTGATTTGATTGATAAGGACATACGTAACAATAGGAGACGAGCATACTGAACACAGCGGGGCTATGGCAGAGCCAAGGAAGCTTAGATTCTCATCAAAAAAGTATGTACCTTGGCTAAACTGAACTTAAGTGGTATATCCATCTCGGAGAACCATCCTTCACATAAAACAGCTTACCGGATACCGCTGTCAAAGGTTCTTACGCAAGCGACTAATTTAGTTTTCAGTGGTTTGTGTTGTCAAGGGCATGTGGAGTGTGACCAGCGATTTCGTGGAATGACACCATACCAATGCACGCAGTAAAGCAAGGCGATTATGGAAGTGCAAATAATACAGGATTTGAGGTCATGGGATTGGGATTCTGAGTTTGCAGTAACAAGTGAATTTATTACAGACCAGCTGAAATTACCAAAAACACATGCAAGTATCGGAAAAACTATGGGATGCATGATGAGCGTGATCAGGGAATTCCCGGGACCCTTGAATCTCAGGATGCACCATAATCTTAGAGTTGAGGATAAACACAATATGCCTCACGATATATGGCCGGTCCTGGTGATACATGGTCACGCTAGGTATTCTACGTAACTTCATGTAAGTAAATACCTCCCTTCCTATTTCCTCTGGTCCTCTAAGAAGTCAATTTAACGTACGCGTAACTACAATACCGCCAATTTTATACGTTAGCCATGAGCTTTAGTCACAAATAGAACAAGTCCAACGTCGCACAATCAGCTCTATAGCTAGTTCCTCGAACTCCTAAATCATCATGAAAATCTCTGGCTCGAAGCTACTCACTTCAAACACTTAAGCTTGTGTTGAAGATATTTTATCAACTCCCCAGGCCATTGATTGATATCTATTCTACAGTACTTCCTCTCTTTTCCCTTATAACTTGGTGACGGTGTATAGCTTACTAGCTGTTCTCTGTGTAAGACTGCGAGGGAGGTGTGGAGAGAGGAATCTAGGGGGAACTATCTTGGCTCACTTGACTAACAGAGAGAATCTGTAGTGCTCGGCACCGATTAACAGAGCGGTGTGACCGACGTGATGACAGAAAGTGTGCTCAAGGGAGCGGGGTATACTGGTATCCATCACTTCTCACATCGCCAGTGGTATTGAGCCGGCGATATCTCTCAGGCTAGCGTAAACTGAGAAGTCAATAGTACTAAAGCAATAACTGTGAACGTGGATTGGATGGTTCAGTGATTCGCTAGCTCCGAGAGATCAAAATTACTAACATCTGATGTAGACCGATGCCATCCAACCAATCACTCGAGAGATAATCCCTGGACGGAGCTAGCGAATTTCTCGAGGTTTTGCGGTACTCACCGACTCTGTACCGGAGCTGAGAGCGTTCAACCCCTCTGGCTCCCAGGTGGGGACTCGTTAGCGAATCCTTAAGATTTATAGTAGCTTGATACCATGGTGCTGATGTTTCTGCGTTCTGGGAGGGTTGCAACTCATAATCATCAAATATGATCATGACACTGGCACATAATTATCCCTTAAGCTGTCGATGCCGACCCCCCTATAACAGAGGAATTACATTTGTATGAGAGATCTATTATTTGATAAGAGAGATAACGAGATCTGTTAGTAAAGCCACACCAAATTTGCTTTTTTTTTTTGTGGGCAGTATCGCGACAGCTTAAAGGATAATTACAGACATTCTCATGTTCACTCTAGATCTCTTTGGAATTCTCTGTGAAAGCAGGACTTCGAAATAATGGCAGGGTTCGTTACTAGCAGTGATTGTCGTTACCTAGGATACTTCTTAACCATATAAAAAGGAGCCTCAGAGATGTGCTGATGTTGGTAACTGCTGTACTTCTACCAGCGATATCGATCATGTATGGCTTTTTGAGGCTGCATAGACATCAAAGAGAACTTCAGATGGGCTTGAAATAAGATGTATAGTTATATTATGAATCTTAAACCTCTATATACTCGGGGTAAAACAACACAGAGAGAGAAGAGTCACGCTCTAGCAATTTGACTTGACCACATATATATACCAACCATTGGTGCATCGTAGTAGCACTTCAGCTGATCATGACCAGACCTTGAAATATTGCATACGTGTATCGCACCGGAGGTCGAGGTCGATCTTCGAATCTAAGACATCAAATCGGGTCCCTTAACTGGTGAGCTATGCCACTGGTGAGAGGACTCGGTTTGTTTTCTGCTTTGTAAGAGTTGTGATGAAGGATAGGAAGGATTACGAGATGACCTCGACTTGTGTGGATCACAAAATATCACTCGCGAAGAATAAACCGCGGTCTTTTACACTGGTGCCCTAATTGAGCCTAGGTGAGCGTATTTACAATCAAACATTACTTATTTATCTGTAAGAACATGTTTAGATATGGAGATTATAACTATATGTATGTGTGGTCACGATAGTGCCATTGCTGTGATTAGTGATCATGAATGAATCACTATATAACGATATGATATAATAGACTAGGGACCCGCACACTGTAGCCAAGAACTTCACTTTAACTTGGCGCTTCCGCGCCTACAAGCGACGGGTCGAGCTCCTTTAACCTTCCCGCCATTCACCCAAGTGTAGTGCAAAAACTAACAGAGAACAAAACACCGAAAAGAGTCCGGATCCGCCCCGGGTTCTCGGCGGCCGGAAGAACTTCACAATGGCCAAAAAAAATACTGTCTTCCACAGAGAGCCACAAGAACCCCACACGCCACACTGTCTGGAATCAACTGCAGAGGAAGGGATAATGGTGAATCTATTTCGAAATGACTGCAACGGTATATATATATACGTACCCGCGCGCGCGGCTCGCCCAGAATATTACTTTAGTGTTAATATTACAAAAATATATAGCTAGCGATAACTATCTAAAGAGTCAATATTCATATTCATCTCTTCAAAGTCTTAATCTACGGCGAAATCTTTTTAAAAACTAATGAGAATCGACTAATATTAAGAAAACGGGACGACAACCTCATCGCGAGTGATATCCTATGATCGATCCAGCCGATCAATTGAGGTCCCTCCCTATTTCCATCACCCGACCAAGATCCTGAACCATGAGTATATGCCTACATTTCACAAGCCTGAAAGTATCGAAGAGCTAAACCCAAGCTCTATGCCTGCAGGGTATGTGTGTGTGCTCTAGTCCATTCAGGAATTCAGTCAACTCAACGTTCCTCAACGGGCCGGGCCGGGCCGTCAATTTAGGGAACGTGAAATCAGAGGTATCCCGCTTGTTTAGTATTTTACCAAGAGCTAGCCATTCGGGACAGACCGTTAATTCAGGAAAACCAAGATACAGCGAAGGCTTGCTATAACGGTACCTTCTACAAGGGTAATCTCTCTATGATAACGGTAGCACTTCTCGGTCCTTTTTTGCCCGGATTTCAGCACCAATCACCTCTTATATAAGGGTAATCTCTCTCTAACGGTACCAAATTCCGGTCCCGAGCGTACCGTTATAGCAAGCTTTCGCTGTATGCATACATGTATCCATCGATCAGGCTTCTCCATACAGTACATAACTCGCGACGGTGTAACACAACCATACAACATCAGTAAGCTCAGAATCTATATATATATATATAAAAAGCAACACTCGCCCCTGCTCATCCGTCATCATCTATAGGTGGTTTGATTAATTAAACCTCTCCTTAGTAGCCGGCGGCCAGCTCTTCGCAGCCAGGTGAATTGACCTGGCCAGCAAACAGCCCCAAAGTCTACTTCTCCTATATAGCTGGAGCTGCTTTCAGCATTAAATACCAACATCACATCCCACCACACTCCCACCACCACCACCACCACCACAGCTCTTGAAGGCGGCGAGGGGCGCCCAAATACCAACTTCCAGCGTGGGACATGCACCTAGCTGGCTAGCTAGCCAAAGAACCATAACGTGGACTATGAGCGGCATATATCGGCGGCTAGCTTGATCGATTCCGCCACAGCTAGACAGGCGTGAAGCGCAGGGGGCGGTGGTCCACCATCGACTAGATCAGCGTCTCCGTCATTTACCCCCCGCCGGGCATATACGGATACTATGCAGCTAGCTGGATAAACCTAGCTCATATAAGCTCTCCGTCCATCCGGAAAGGGTTGAAAAAGACGAGCGTATGTACAAGACACCCCAACCCCGCCATATACTACACATAGCGATACCAAACGAGCACACCTATCTATCTAGCCAGGAACAAGACCATAAATATAAGTATAACTATGATAGATTATTTTACTCCTACCGCCCCGCCCTCCCATCATTAACCGCATCCCACATGCATAACAGATCCGATCAGATCTTCCCAAGACAGACAGACAGAGCCAGCTGCATGCAACCCACATCTCATACCATATCCTTAGTACATGACCATAAAAGGAAGGACATAGACATACAAAAAAAAACACAAAAAAAAGAAACCCTAGTTTTTTTCTTTTCTAGAAAACGCCGAAACAGAAACAGAAAAACCAGTACAATGGTTTATATTAAAACAAGCAATAAAAAGAGGAAGAAACCGGCATCGTTTTAGTCAACGCAAGAGAAAGAAGAAGAAGCATAAGAATGAAGTGAATAATAAAAAAAAAAAAGATGAGTAAAGAAGAATTTATGTAAACAGTCCAGAAAAAAAGAGAAAAAAATGAAGAGGTTGTGTTAATACGAAGAGGTAAATGCTCCGAGAATAAAAATAAACAAATAAAGGATCAAGAAATTAACATTTTGGGCTTGAAAGACCTAGCTTATCAAGACCCATAAGAGGAAGAATATCATCAAAACTAAAAATACGTATTTGTGTCAGCAACTATCATTACCAAAAAAACCATTAATGTGGGGGTGGGTGGGCGGGAGGGATCAAACCAGCCAGCTATCTAGCTCACCCGAGCCCCAGACACCAGACCCAGACCTAGCGGCACAGAAAGAAAAGAAAAAAGAAAGAAACATACCCCCAAACATCTTAACCACCAACCACCGATTACTACTAACCCTCGCCCAGTATTTCAACAGCTCCCGCTGCCCACCCTCCACGTTGGCCACCACATCCTCCGTCTCATGGTCAATCCTCTGGATCATCTCGCTCTGCTCGCCCACCATCTGCGCCAACTGACTAAAGATACCGCCCAGCTCCGTGATCGTCTTCTCAATCGCCTCGATCGCCTCCGACCTCGCCGAGATGTACGAATTCGCCGCGGACCCCTCCTCCATGAGCGCCAGCTGCTGCGCATTCATCGCGGACGCCGCGGCCGGCGTCGGGTCGAGCGAGAGCAGGTCGGGCTGCGTCGCCGGCCGCGGCGTGCTCGAGGGCGTGGCGTAGAGCGGCGAGTGGTAGGACGGCATGTTGTTTGCTGTGGCAGGATGATAAGCGGATGAAGACGAGAAGCCCATACTGGACGAGGAGGACGGGAGGGGGGCAGAAGCAGGGGTTCGGGGGGTGTTCCTACGATCTGCGGAGTTGGAGCGCACGTTCGAGACGAACTGGTCGGTGCGGTGGCGCGAGGCTTGGATGTTCTTGGTGCGCACTTCGAGCACCTCCTTGAAGCCGACCGAGACGTCGGCGAGCTTGCCCTGGAGCATGACGACGACGTTCTTGGAGTGCTCGCCTTCTTCGGATTTGCCGTTTATGGACTTTGAGCGGGTGAGGGCTTGCAGGGAGGAGATTTGGGCGTTGATGGACGAGAGGTCTTGCTTGATGACATAGGTGAGTTCGGCGATCTCTACGGGCTTATCGTCGAAGAGGGCTTTGCGTTTGGCCACTGTTTTTGCATGTCAGTCTAGGTCGTTCTTCAATTCTGCAATAGCCTCGTTTATTTCCGGCATCATCACCACAACCGCCAAAAAAAAAAAAAAAAAAACATTATGATTGAAACAACAGGAACAGCAACGTGGGGGGGGAATAAAACATACACATCGCCAACCTCTCCAACTTCCCCATGGTGTCTGTAATCGCCCTCCCAATATCCATGGCCCTCCTCGCAAACTCCCCTCTTCCTCCCTGCCGCCGTGGTTTCTCCTCTCCCTTGCCGTTGCTGAGTAACCGCGCATGCGCAGAGCTCGGATTATTCCTACTCAGCTTCTTGCTCGCCGACGTTGTCAGGGCGTGGAACTCCGTGGTGCGGTCCTGGATAGACATTATTAAGATGTATAAATTCTAATCTGCTGTTGTTGGGTTATATTTGTTCGTTTCGTTCTTTCTTTCTTTTTTTTTTTTGTAGGTTTTAGTTTTTTTTGGGGGGGAAGGGAAGCTTGTTGGTATTATGTATGGTATGGCTCGGTCGGTAAAATGATGTATGTGGAAAACTTGATTCTGGATGGGAAAGATTCAGTCCGGTCTTCAGGGGCATCCGAGCAAAGCAAAGGGCAGCTGCCCTTTGAAATGTACGTGTTGCGAAGCGGTCCCCAGCCTACGCGGGCCGGGATTGTGGAGACCGACCCTAACCCTGCCTTTTGTGGAGGGAGTAGGAGCGGGGGGGGGGCTAAATATAGAAAATATAGCTGAGATGCAGGGTCTGCCGTGAGCCAGAAGAGTGTGGATAATAGAATTGGGCGCCTCTTTTTTTTTTTTTTTTTTCTCTCTTGCTCCTCTTCCCAACAATTGCACTCAGTAAGATTCTGAGTGTGTGGGAGCAGCAAAACAGCGGAGCCGGTGGTGGTGGCAATGTATTCTACTGCATGCGGTCCGGAAGGTCCGGAGCAATTGTCGCTGTGTAGCCGCGCAGCGGAGGGCGGAGAGGAGAAGGTGCGAGTTGCATGGGGGGGGGTTGTGTTTCGATCTTTTTTTTTTTTTTTTTTGTCGCTTTTCCGATCGAGAGTAATCAAGCAACTCGGAGGAGGGCTTGTGAGATGAAGAGCACTCATGAGATCATAGCAGGATATCATAGGTCTCGTGATCGGCCAATCGGGAAGGTAAGGCGTGATTGGCTGGGGGAGGCGTCCCTCTTTGACAGTTTCATGGGTGTGGTAGGCATTTCATGTCGGGGAGAACAATATATCTGGAACGCTTGGATTGGGGGGGGTTTCAGAATGCGGGGAAGATTATGATCAAAGCAGGCAAAAGTCTATCCGGAGGTATGTAGATTTCATGATCACAAACTCTCACACTCACAGGTTGGGCCAGCGAGTGATATACTGTGATTGGCTGCTGAGGTGACGAACCTTGATGCCAGTTTGGTGCGGAATCCTACTCCATCCGTGATATACTGGCCCCTCAGTTATATCATGATGCGTTTTGGTCAATTTAAATAAACAGATGGATGGGTTTGCTAAACTCTCTCCCACCAGCACCGGTACCAATTAACCGCCGTCGATATCGGAGCTTATACGTTGAAGATTTTAAAGAATGATACTGTGCGTACGTCTATTATTACCTATCTAGTGATATTCACAGTACTAAAGAGTCACTCTCTGCAAAAGCACGTCATCAGCTAGAGTATCATAAGAACTCCAGAAAAGCACACGGTCCATAATCATTACCGCCTCTATCGCTAGAGACTGAGAGTCTATGTATGTATGCTAGTTAGACATGATCAACAAACGCAACAGAACCAAACCACCTCTATGACTATCCTCTCTCCATTGCTTTTAACCCCCTCCTCTATCACCCAATCCCCCTCCATAGTCCCCCTAAAACACCACCACCAACCCCACCACCCCCAGCACCCCCACACACACCCCCCAATGCGCCACCACCCACTCGCCCCCCGCCTTCATCTCCTCCGCACTAACACACGCCGCCACCAACGCACCCCAATGCGCAGCCACCACCAAGAACAAATCCCACTCCATCCCCGCCATCGCAAACAGCACCCACCCGCCCAGCGCCGCCGCGGCCAGCGCCCGCCCGCGGTACCGCGGGAAGTAGACGTTGCGGAAGTACCACCAGTGGGACGTTGCGTGGACGGCGTTGACGGGGATGAGGAGCAGCGTGCGGAGCAGGAGGGCGGCGAGGGCGGCCGCCAGGAGGAGGCAGGCGGCGTGGAGGATGGTGAGGAGGGTGGACGGGGGGAGGAGGGTCGCGAGGTGTGGGAGGAGGAGGAGGAAGAGGAGGGTGAGGAGGGTTGCGGAGAGGGTGGTGAGGAGGGTGGTGAGGAGGGGCATCGTGGTTTGTGTTGGGCGGTGGTCTTGGGATGTAGGAGGTTTGATGGGCTTTGGTGGGTTGTTCTTCTTTCTTTGGTGGTGTTGGTGATGGAAGAGGGGGTCGAGTGATGGTGAGTGAACGGGTGATTGTGCGCAAGACTGGTGATAGCGCTTTCAAACTAGAGCTAGCCCGCTGCACGAACCCGTGGGATTCTACTTTCAAGACGACTGCTGGTTTGGTTTGCACAGGCCATTCGACGTATCATTTGGATTATGTATATATTGTGGTCACTCTTCAAATTGTTAGCGGTAATATATGAATACCTATATGGCAGTGACCTAAGATGCCCCTCCCCCAACAGACATAAGAGTGGTCGGAACCACCAGAAGGGTCTTTTAAAAAAAATGTGCAGTCATTCTGCGTAACAAAAGACTTACGTGCCCTCCGATATGGGCACTGCTTTGTCGATATACATATGCATATATTTATCGATACCGGGGGGGGGGGGGGGTTCGGGCGACGGCCCCATGTTGAATGACTTTCGTAATGTCGAAGTGAACGAGTGCACGTGGTATACGAGCAGGCTTAGACTGACTCCTTCCCACCAGGCCATCGCAACCCCCCGCACTTGCATTTCTTTTGGTGCCTTTGACCTGGGGCAACGAATACGTGTGTACTGTGCGTGCGTCGACCTGAATGTTCATCCTACACGCATCATGGCTGGATCCACCTATGTGCTTGCAAGAGGGTCAGGATGGTGCGGCATGGTATATCACTCGGGTTTGTATCTTGCCAGAGATAATGGTCATGGCCGAATGATCATCGATAGAGCATATCATTGAATGGCTTCATGCACTTTCTGCGGCTAAGGACTTGCATGTGTATCCATGTATCCATGGCGAGGCCCCCCAGAAAAGACCTCTCCCTCCAATACAAGCACTTCCAAGTTCCTGTTCCTGTCCCTGTCCCGCTATCGATAAGCCAACCCTAACCCGCCCCATCCGCACCGCCACACCGCCACAGGTATGTACACACGCAGCCCACCATTTCCATTTCCAGGCCGCGCAACGGGTAAGGCTTCACGCAACGCTCAAACACCAACCCTCACGATACCCAGAACCTCTGCTCTCACGATCCATCTCCCCCCGATATATCTCCCCCCTCACTCACTCACTCACTCACTCGCTCGCTCGCTCACCCACGCTCACTCTCGCCATGGCCGTCCCCACCGCAAGCAGCTGGGCCCAGCTCCGGCAGCAAGCCCGCTCCCTAGAGTCACAGGTAGGAAGGAACCTCCCCGAGCAAGCCCCGAACCTCCCCCGCTAACCCCCCCCCCCCCCCCCCCCGCGCAGACCGAGAGCCTCTTCCACACATACTCCGCCTTCGCCTCCTCCCCGCCCGCAAAGCCCACCGAAGAAGAGCTCCAAACCGAGCGCAAGCTCCAGGACATCCTGTCCAAGGTAATGCACACCCCCAACCACCACCCACCCACCTCCCCTGCACCCCGCACCCCCCACTAACCCGCCACAGCGCGACACCACCGTCGCCTCGCTCTCGCGCCTCCTCGACTCCGAGTCCGCCCTCACCTCCAGCGCCACCAAGCTGCAGAACCTCTCGCTGCACCGCAGCACGCTCGCCGACCACCGCCGCGAGCACGCCCGCCTCAAGGCCACCATCGCCGAGGCCCGCGGCCGCGCAAACCTGCTCTCTACCGTGCGCGACGACATCTCGGCCTTCCGCTCGGCGAGCCGCATCGAGGAGGGCCGCTCCGAGGCCGACTACATGCTGGATGAGAGAGAGCGAATCGACCGCAGCCACAGTGTGGCCGACGGCGTGCTCAGCCAGGCGTATGCGGTCAATGAGGACTTTATGGGCCAGCGCCAGATGCTGCAGAATATCAATAGGCGCATTGCGAATAGCGCGAGTAAGGTGCCGGGGATTAATACGATTGTGGCCAAGATTAATACGAGGAAGAAGAGGGATAGTGTCATCTTGGCGGCGCTGATCACGGTGTGCTTTTTGGGCGTGTTGTGGTTTCGGTAGTGTGGTGCTGTTTGGCGGGTGTTTTTGCTTTTCGTTGGGTGCGAGCTTTTGCGTTGGCGGATTGGATTGGATTGTGTAGTCTTCCCTCCCCCCCCCCCGCGGGGGTTACTTAGGGACTTTGTTTGAATCTGCTTTGAGTTGCTTGCAAGTGTATTTCCTTTTCCTTTCTGTCTGGGTTTCCTTTTTTTTTTTCTTGCACTGGCGCTTGTTTTGCTGTTGCTATTACTGTTGTTTTTGCTACTGTGTACATGACTTGGAGCCGTAGGAATCAATATCCTAATCACTTGCAGGTGTGTTCTAGAGGAGACTATCATTCACGGACCGCCAGACAGCTATCATTTAACTATAATAACTGCATATCTACAACACAGGATTCCCCCCCAGTTATGGACCTTGTAGCACCGGCGAGGTCTTATTATGAGGTGGGCACGCACATTTAGGAAAGATCAATAAAGATCAATAGAGGCTTTTAGTTTATTGAAACTTTTATTCCCCCCCCCATACAAGCATTGCACGGGCGATGATGAAAGTTGCAAAAACTACTAGTAAAAGCATCTATATGATGATTGCTTTTTGTTACCGTATCGTGGTGTCAATGATCCTTCGGCGGCCAGAGTGAAAAAGATAAGATCCCTCACCAAAACTCACTCGCCTGATTAGCTCAGATCTCGGCATCAGCTGCGGGTCTTATTTCTCTTTGTTGGGCCACACGCGTGCTCTAGATGTCTCATAATACGAAAATATCAAATATTCGTACAGAACAAACATGAGCGGAAACCTCGAAATGATATTTACGTCTAAAACAGCTACTAATTATCTACAGAACACGCACACACACCCCCCCCCCCCCTCTTTTCCCCTCAGATCTCATCCATCTCCTCCTGCACCCTCCTCTTCTCCCCCTCCCTCCTCTCCCTCTCCACCCTCGCCGCCTCCCTCTCCCCCTCCAACCGCCTCCAATCCTCCCCCAACTTGGCCACCCCCCTCCGCAACGCCGCCCTCTCCTCCTCCCCCGCCCTCCCGGACCCCGCCCACCGGATCCGGCAGTCCCAGTCCACAAGATACACATACCCCACCTTCTCATTCACATACGCCATCCTCTCCCGCACCTCCTCCTCCAGCCCCCTCTGCACCAAAAAATACCTCCCCCACGCCCCCTCCCCCACGCCCGCGCGGATCCTGGGCACAAACACCCTCACCAGCCACGCCTTCAGCGGGTTCGTCTCCACATTGACATCCACCCTCTGCACCGGCCCCTCCTCGAGGCCCGCGGTGAAGGTGCGCACCTGCGCCTCGGCCCACGCGCTGCTGAACACGCTCACGACGCTGACATGCCCTTCCAGCACTTCGGTGGTGCTCTGCAGCGGGTCGCTGGGGTGCTGCAGCGTGCGGCCGACGAGGTTGGGGAAGAAGAGGGCCTTGTCGGCGCGGAAGAGGAGGGGCGGCGCGGTGAAGGACTTGCCCTTGTGCGTTGCGGAGAGGCGCGAGAAGTCGCGGAAGTAGGGCTTGAAGATCTGCTTTGTCCTGTGCTCCGCAATTTCTCCTGTTAGCCATCTGGGGGGGGGGGAGGGCAGAGAGGGGGGGAGGGCAGAGAGGGGGGGAGGGCAGAGAGGGGGGGGGGAAGAGAAACATCTTGGCCCGCTTCTCAAGGTGCTTATCCCAATTGCGGAAGTCGTCGCGGCGCTCGGCCCACGTGCGCGTGTCGATGCCCGTGTTCTCGTCGGGGCGCGGCGGGTGGTCGAGGCCGATGGGGCGGGCGAGGCGCGGGGGCGCGGCGTCGCGCTCCTTGCCCCCCCCCGCGAGGCTCGAGTCGAGCTCTGTGAAGGGCTCTTCTTCATTGTCGGTCTTCTTCTTGCTTGGCGGTGGCGGTGGCGGCGGCGGCGGGGCGGTTGCGAGGTGGCGGCGGCGCTGCAGTAGTAGGTGCGCGGGTGGGCGGGGGCGGAGGGGGTGGTGCCGCAGGAGGAGGGCGCGTGGTAATGACATTTTGGGGCGGGTTTGGTGGTGGGGTGTGGGGTGGTGTGGTGTGGAGGGGTTTGGGGTGATTGATCTCGCCCTGCAGCAGTTTGGCGGCAAGGCAAGGCAAGGCAAATGGTTGTTGAGCCGCTGATACGGAGTCAGGGATCACGGCAACCCTGCCCTATGCTGACGATGATGGCATGTCACGAGGAAGGAGGGAAGGAAGGAAGAAGGCTGGCTGGCTGGCACTGGCTGGAGCAGCAGGTGCTCTGTCTGGTTTGTACATCAGGCCTCTATCACTCGGATGCAGGTATGCGAACAAAGCACATATATCCTCTACGTCCAGCAGCTACCAATACAACAAGAAAGAAGTACAAAAGCAGAGAGATGTAGGAGAAAGATTATAACGGAGAAGAAAGCCTCGCTATGTGAGAAAAGTTTAAGAGAAACACGCAGACAGAGATCACCTTGGGGGGGGGGGGGGGCACAATATGAAGTACATAAACTCAAGCAAGAATAGTAATAGGAGTACGAATAGTAAAAGGGAACAATGAAGAAACCCCATGAGAAGCCTAGAAAGGGAAGAGGAAGAAGAAGAAGAGTCTCCATCACCAGAGAAAAGCAGTTGTACACCGACTACACCAAACCAACCAGGAAGACAAAAAAGACAGGGAAAAAATGAAGAGGAAAGGATGAAAACATGAGAGAAACTCTATCTAGATTCTCTAGATACCCATCGTATAGTCCAATTCAACCCCGGGCACAACTCCAGCAATCACCTTCACAAAGACCACCAAGTACTGGTCCACCCTGAGGCCTCCATCATCAGCGCTCTCCTGCTCCTCGGTCTCGCCCGCTGCAGGAACCTCCTCCCACTCTTCGCGTTCGCGTCTTCGGGCCATGCTTTCAAAGATGCGCTTCATGACCTCAGCATGACGGCATGGATGCACGCTCGCCATCTGCACACTGCCATCCATGGGCGGGAACTCCTCGATCGTCACGGTCTTCTCGCGATAGTCGGGCGCGATGTCTTCGAACATGACGGTAGGGGGGTTGAGGGGCATGCGGGTGGAACCGTCATAGCCGGAGAGGTAAAAGCGTGGGACGCGGTAGTAGACGGAGTAGGTAATGTACAGGTTGTACGTGCGGAGAGGTCTATAGGAGGGTGGGGGTTAACTAAGCTATCATAGCTTGAAAGTGGGGGGTAGGCATGTCTCAGATAGCTAGAGCTAGCTATCTAGAGCTCTTTCCCTCGGCTATACAGCTCCAAGGGAGCTCCTTAACGGGGGGGGGGCATAAACAAACAGATGGTGTACTCACGCCTTAACACCTCTGCCTCCTGCTCTAGCCTTCGGGGCCTCTTTGATGATTGCCTCATCATCATCCTCCTCTTCATCGGGGATGTCGTCTTCGTCCTCCTCCTCTTCCTCCTCCCCGGCCTCGTCTACCGTCTTTACTTTTGCCACCTCGGGAGCTTCCCCGTTAGGATCAGTGGTGGTAGCGAATGTAGGTGCGTTATCCTCCCACTCGTCCTCTCCGTCCTTTGCTTCGCCCGGGTTCCACGATGAGAAGCTGTCGTCGACACGGCTGTGACAGGGCGCGTTGCGGAGAACGAGATACTGTTTATCGTCGGGGAGATGCGTGACACGTTTGGCTGCGTCCGCTGGGGCCCAGGACCAGGTGGGGAACTTGTAGACGAGGTAGTCGCCGGCGGCGACGAACTCTTCGGGGGTGACCTGGCCGGTCTTGGTGAACGTTGAGGCGTTGGAGGGGGTTGAGAGATACTCTCGGAGAGTGGATAAGGTAGAGTAGAAGGGATTCATGTTGTTGATAGTATTGTAGCTGTTGGACCGTGCAATAGTGTAGCTAGCTTGTAGGTAATTGTAGCAGTTGATTATATGTACGTATGTGCGTGCGGGTCTGTGATGGCAGAGGCGAGTGAGGTAGAAGATGAGGTTGGGGGGCTGGGTGTAGCTGCGTTGGTTGGAGGTGTACTGGGTGAATAGCAGCAGCAGAGAGATGTGGATGGGGATTCGATAGAGGAGTCACACGGGAGAGGAAGTAGTCCACACAGAGCACCATGGCGGGGGAGGGGAACTAACAAGGCTATGCCCAGCGATACTGAGCATATGCGTAACTCTCGGCATGAGCCACCCTAAGCTAGTGTATCAATTACCCTGCCTGTCTCGTGATTCTCACTTCAGCCTTTCTCGTTCTGTCACGAATCCTCATTGTAACCATCTTCAACACCCGACCTTGCAATCTTAACTACAACTTCTACTACTACTACAACAACCACCACCAATACAATCCCTTCAATCATTGCAAACCATGGCTGAAGCTAGAAACAACAACAGGAAGGAGGATGCTACCAGGCTCGAGTTCACGACCTCTACGGAGATCACTGTGTAATTCCCCTACCTACTGCCTGCTCGCCACTGCGCGTGTCCTGCTTGTGCTAACAATTCAAACAGCGCGCCTACCTGTATGTGCCCTGAACCTTGCCTTTCCAACTCCAATTCATGAATACTAACACATCCGATCTCCAGTCGAGTCTATGCAACTGAAGGGTACGGCTTCTTTCTCGTACAGTGTGTGCTTCTCCGTGCTGACATTGGTGCACAGAGGCCCTTCTTCGTGGAATCTATGCATACGGTTATGAATCCCCTTCCGCTGTGCAATCGCGTGCCATCGTCCAGATCTGCAAAGGTCGTGATACGATCGCGCAGGCACAATCCGGTACCGGTAAAACCGCTACGTTCTCCATTTCCATCCTCCAGGTCATCGACACCGCCGTGCTCGAGGCACAAGGTTCGTCACCCCAGTCTTGGCAGTGCATAAACATTGTTCCCCCCTACTGACTGATCGGAATAGCGCTCGTTCTTTCCCCCACCCGCGAACTTGCAACCCAGATCCAATCCGTCATCATGGCTCTTGGAGAATACATGAACGCGCAATGCCACGCCTGCATAGGCGGAACTAGCATCGGGATGGACATCCAAGCGCTCGAGCGCGGCCCACACGTCGTATCTGGCACTCCCGGGCGAGTCGCAGACATGATCCGCCGCAAGTGTCTTCGCACGCGCCATATCAAGATGCTCGTTCTCGACGAGGCCGACGAGCTCCTCAACATGGGTTTCCGCGAGCAGATCTATGACGTATACCGCTATCTTCCCCCGAGCACGCAGGTTGTCGTTGTGTCGGCCACCCTGCCGTACGACGTTCTTGATATGACGCGGAAGTTCATGACGGACCCCGTGCACATCCTTGTCAAGCGTGACGAGCTGACCCTCGACGGCTTGAAGCAGTACTTCATTGCTGTTGACAAGGAGGACTGGAAGTTTGACACTCTGTGTGATCTGTACGACACTCTGACTATCACCCAGGCCGTCATCTTCTGCAACACCAGGAAGAAGGTCGATTGGTTGGCGGATAAGATGAGGGAGGCCAACTTCACGGTCTCAAGCATGCATGGGGAGATGCTGCAGAAGGAGCGTGATAGCATCATGGAGGAGTTTAGGACCGGAAACAGCAGGGTACTTATCTCGACAGATGTCTGGGCGAGAGGTATCGATGTCCAGCAGGTCTCGCTGGTCATCAACTACGATTTGCCAAATAACCGTGAGAACTACATTCACAGGATTGGCCGAAGTGGTAGATTTGGGCGCAAGGGGTATGTTGCTTTTTTTTTCCCCTGCGGGTTAGGGTTGTTTATGTAGTGGAGTTGCTAACAGAATGTAGTGTCGCTATCAACTTCGTTACCAGCGAGGACGTCAGGATCCTCCGCGATATCGAACTTTATTACAGTAGGCCTACCCCACTCCCCCTTTCGCCCCCAATGGCTTTAACCGCTAACACTGTCTCCAGGTACACAAATCGATGAGATGCCAATGAATGTCTCCGACCTCTTATCATAAACACGCTTGCGACAAATTGACATTTCTTTCGTTTTCTTTATATGAAAAAAAAAAAAGCCCCATCTACAGGAGGCTTCTAGGGGAGGGAAAAAAAGGACAATGCATAAAGGGGCAAAAAGTGAGGAGGAAATGGGGCTGTATGGCTAAAGGTTTGTAATTGGCTTCTTATTATTATTATTATTCTCCTCCATTTCAACCCCCTTCCTGCGGCGGCGTTCTACATATATATGAAAAAATATGGTAGCTAATGTAAGACTGGTTTTAGATTGAAATGAAAACATTATGCGAGAGATTTTTTTTTTTTTTTTGTATTTTCCTTTTTGGGGTTACAAGAATTCTGTTTTTTTCCTTTTTTTTTTTTCTTTTTTTTTTCCGTGGATGCGCATGGCACTGAGCATGAAATCATTGTGATGAAGTAGGGAGGCCTGCGCAGGGAGTGGATCGGTATCTGGTAGTTAATCTGCAACTAAAATTGATAGTGGAGTTCTTTTTTTTTTTTTTTTTTTTTTTTGTTTTCAAAGGGGACATTTTGTTCTAGTTGGGAGAATTGGAATGAGGGCGGCTAGACGTGATCACCTATCTTCGAGGAAGAATAAAAGAAAATCTTGAGAACAGACGCCGTTATTTGTGGGAGTGTGGAGAACCCTTCTAAGCTGCCGATCACTAGGAGCGTTGCAACTTTTGTTGAGGTTTTTGACCTTGCGAGTTGGTTGGTTGTTCAACCACACCTGGGCCAGGGTACTCTATGTAGCCGTAGTACGTAGGGTCTGCCGCAAATGTTTAGAAAAAGGAAAAAAAAAAAAAGGTCGGATAAGACATAGCTGGTAAATCACGGTGAATCATGCACAATTCACTCTTCTTACAGTCCTGCTTGTTTGTAAGGGGGGTATGGCATCTGGTAGCTATAATTATCTATAGTACAAAAAAAAAAAATTCTTTGAAACAAATAGATATTACCTATATATAAGAATAAAAAAACTTTTATAGACTCCGAATCAATCTCATCCGGTGAAAAAACTCCGTCGATCAAAACACAAATAAAGAGATAATAATCAAACACCGTCATTAAACGCCCCCCCCCCCCCCCCCCAAAATCAAGAGAATGTTTTATCCCAGTATTTCATGAACGCATTTCTGTGGAACGTGTCGTATCAGCATAAAGAAAGGTTCCGACGATAATATCAAGGGGCGGATAACGGCATACCTGGGGGGAGCAGGAACGAATTGGCGTTCGTATTCATCGATATCGGCCTTGTCGGAGAAAAGATCAACCTCTTCCGGTGCTCGCCACTTGGTTTTGTGGATAAACTTCCATAAGACGAATAGGACCGGGAAGAGGAAGATCATGAGGTATCTATTTTGCCCGGCCTTGAAGTTAGCCTTTTTTTTTCTTTTTCTTTCTCTTTTTTTACTCTGGGGGGGTGGGAATGGGATGAGAGGGCTCACGAGAAAAGGAACGTAGGAACATCCCAGTTCCCGGGTACAAAGACGCTGTAGCCACCGACAAAGCACATGATGGACGTGGCCGTAAAGGCATACCATGCCGTAGCTGGCTGCCAAAAACCCTTGTGTGGTAGGGTGTCCCGTGAGATTCCTTGTGCGGCAAGAGCTTTCCTGAATTTGATGTAGGTGAAGGTGATCACCGAGAAGTTTATCAATTGTGAGGCTGTCACCTAAGAAGGGTTTAGAAACATCAAGCTTTACGTGGCGGAGGTGGAGGGGGAGACAAACCAGGTTGATGAACCACTGCAAAACCACTGCTGCGTTGTTGGAGACTTGGAGGAATGAAAGAAGCGCTATTGCAAGGACTACGGCGATCGAGTACAGGGGGATACCGCCCTTGGTGCACTTGGCTAATATTTTCGGAGCTTTGCCTTCAAGGGCTAGATGTACATATATGCTGTTAGATATTGCTTGTCTCAGTAGAGATATGAAGAGGCACTGACCAAGACCATATAAACTTCTGCTTGCACAGTAGACGTATGAATTACCAGCCGATAACGCTGATGTGAAAATCAAAGCATTCACAATATGAGGCAGATATGGGATTCCCATCCTATCCATAGCAACGACATAAGGAGATGCAGCGGCACCCGGCCGTCCCTCAGAGAAGGCGGCCGCCATTGTTGGGTCGTTGTGGGGAACGACAATTCCCACGCAAAGAGATCCCAAAACAAAAAATGTAGTGAGACGGTAAAAGACGGCATTGAATGCCCGTGGTAGGACCCTTCGTGGGTTTTCTGCCTCTCCAGCTGCCATACTGACATAGTCTGGCCCTGCAATAGTAAAACTAGCTTGAATAAGACACGCAATGAACCCGATAAACTTTCCAACATCGCCTGTTTTGGTGGATTCTGCAAATGGGCCCTGTGATATATATATATTAGCTCTTAATTGTACTAGCACGAAAATATGAGCGGTGGAGATGGATGGATGGTTACCGGATCTTTCCAATATCTAAATCCATACCTATCACCTTGTGGGTTTCCCCCTAACATTGTGACAAAGGTGAAGCAGATTAAGCCAACGATCAAGATAACCTTTCCCAGAGCCATCCAAAATTCACTCTCCCCATACCATTTTACGGCAGTCAGATTCACAAGTCTAAAACAAAGCATTAGTTATGAACAAGGTGGGGAAGGGACACAACACATAATAACTTACGCGTAGCATGCGATAATTATAGCAATCACAATACCTACATGAATCTTATCGGTCCAATAGTGTAAAATGACATTACAGGCAACAATTTCGAAAGGTACGAGAGCTGCTTCAAAGATGAAGAAGTTGTATCCGGCGGCAAAGCCAAGAGCATCATCAACGTAACGACCTGCGAATCGGATGAATGGTGAAGATACGGGGAGGTAGGTCACCATCTCTGCCATACTATTGTTGATTGCCAAAATGACGGTACACCTAAGTTTTTACACAAATATGAGTATCTCAACGCCTAGGCTTCAACTTCCTCCTGTAACAGAGCTCTTGGTACTAAGTATTCCATGTTTCAGATTACACTTTAGTGTGTTTCTCGGCATGGAATTTCTCTCGAGCTCTCAGCCATTGGGGTTAATTCAATTAGAGATTAAGTATCATACCATAATGAGAAAGCAATAAACAAACTGGCAGGTCCTCCCTGCATCAACCCTCTTCCAATATTGACATAAAGTGCGGTCCCGATTGTGCCACCAATACCGATCAATTGAATGTGTCTGGGTTTCAGTTTCCGGTGAGTATGGTCGTAGCTTGGAGGCAACGAGCCAGCCTCGCCGTCATCTGCAGAAGTCCTGGCTCCACTTGAAGAAAGCGAATCCACTGGAGGTTTCTCAGCATCCGAACGTTTGTAGACATTTGACGAGACGTCCTGCTTGACACCTGTGGAGGCCATCTTTCGAACTGATGTTAGACTGAAGGTCGCGGGGTTGAGTAGGTCAATCATCGACGTGGGAGCTGCTGTGTACTTATAAGACTTTACCTACAGATGTCTCCGAACTATTTTCCCATCTATCCAGCTAAGTTTGCATTGCATGTTTTTTCCTGGGATAGCTACCCATGCATGATAATGTAGTTGTCCAAATTTCTGGGCCTAAAGAAAGCCTGTAACGAGCGTTTCGGGACTAATCAGCAGGTGATATGCCTTGTTTACCCCGCCAGAAGGCAAAAGTGAGAAGTATGTAAGACGACAGAATTGAATCTGGGCGTCGTCATTCCCGTATAAAAGCCTAATGCTATAGTATGCGCACTGCGCGTGTCCCAAAAGAATCCTTTCAACACTTCAACGATTGGTACTCTACTGCAATCGGGCTTGTGGCTGTCTTATTTTCACATGTCTTTGGCCTGAGCTTCACTATCCTTCTCACCTTCACCGCAGTCTGCTCCCCGAGACCCTTCTACGAACACTACGTGACGGTACGGACGTAAGGAAATAACGGCCGCGCAAAGACAAGGTACCGACAAACCCTGCGTTAATAACGCAATTAGTTTGAAAAATTCCGATTGATCATCCTTTACCAATCCCGGATGGGATACGCCACTGGTTTAGCGATATCTTATCAGTTAGACACCCGCACTTTATTTGAGCAGGCCTAAGAAGTTGATTAATTCATTAGGCAAGGTCCTCAAAAGTTGGAACAACACGAAGGCTAAGATAATTCAGGTAAGCGCACATCACGGGAGAATCTTGGTGCCACATCCGTTCCAACAAGTAATCAAACTTGAAAAAGTTGATTAAGAGAACGATACATTGGTATGGGGGAGAACGTTAATCCGAGTGACAATATATGATCATGAGTCCCTCTACCCCATGGCCTGGTAGAAATTTAAAATTCCGGGACTTCCTATTTCAGCGAGTGGCAAAGTCACTGCTCCACGCACTATTAACACTAATCCACACGCTACCAGTGTGGAGCAGTGACTTTGCCACTGAGAGGGCCTGCTGAAATAGGAAGTCCCGGAATTTTCAATTTCTACCAGGTCATGGGATAGATCTACCTGCATGTAAGGTCCATGATCCACTCTTCATCAAGCACTTCGCGTTAGCGATGCTCTGTAAGGGAAGTGAGTGCCTGCTTGCGGTCGAACATGTGCAAACCATTTCCGTTCACATGCATCATTATATGTGTTGACTCGTGCCGTTACCACGGCGAGTGATACTATATGATCATTCCAGCGCATTTCATCCCATTCTGACTGAGACTCGATATTCTGGGGTGCTTAAGCGTGGGGTCAGCTTGTGAAAACAACCTAATCGAGAAACTTACCCACATTGGAGCGCGGGACGCCCCAGACGACCCGTGTCTGGGCGAGAACATGAACCATGTACTATCACATGTTTAAAGTGTAAGTTTTGGTTACATGTACTAGTAGACCCAACACGAAATGATTTGGGAAAAGTCAGAAAGTACATGTGCTCTGCACCGTACACGTTTGAGATAAAAGGACCCGACATGAGTGTCAAGAGCTGCATGTACCGTAAACCGATGAGTACTTGGTGCATGGCTAATACCAACTGAGAGCAAGTTTCACCGGGGAATATAGACTACGTCTCTAGAATGAGCGAGCTATAATCTTAAAGTTCCCAACAATGAGGTCAGTCCTGGCGCCAGATATCAGTTGAACTGAGTTGACAAGCGCACCCAACAGTTTGTTAAGACATGTGTTTCTACGCTTCAGGAATCTTGGTGCTAACTCCAGTCTGATCTTACTAAGATCTTAAGACCTGTGCTTGAGCACTTGGACCTTTAATCAGCTACATACTATAACCCAAAATGTCCTCGAAAGAAAAAAATTCAGTCTCAAACTCAGTCGTCAATTATGCTCGTTCTAAGGTTGAGTTCAACAAAGGCTCTACTATCGCCTCCAATACAGCCATTCAAGTGTCTACCCTCTATTTTAACAAATCGGATTCCGGCATTGTGAAAGATCAAGACGGCTCGAGTACACCTTCAAATCTACGATGTTATCATGGATTAACGGTGATTTCTACTGAGTTTAACAGAGGTAAGGACATAAACAACGTTTAAAGTTCAAGAAGCAAGTTGACAATTAGCTGTTTTTTCTTTTTTTCAGCGAATGTCATCCCGAATGCAAAAATACAAACCCACCATGAAAAGACCATTGACCCGGAGGATTGTGAACACAGAAAGTACTGTGAAACCAGCGATGAAAAGCGGCCTATACATCACAATCAGTGCCGCCCCGAGAACTATGAACGTCAGAAAGCCCGTGAAACGCGACAAGTCAATTCAGGTGTTACTAACTCTGTTAGTCGTGAGATTAACGAAGACCGAGGGAGTTGCGTTGAAGCTTTTGGAAAACATGAGGATCAAGGGATTGATCAGGAATGTAGAGGTTCTGTGGATCAAAAAACCGACGGGAACTCCGGTGACTACAAGGGTATGAAGGACCAGATGCCTACATGTGCAAATCATGGCTTTGATGAGGATGATTTAGATTGTGGATACGATGAAGAGTGTCTGAAAAATTGTCATTATGTCGAGGACCCATTTAATGATTGTGAACATGGCCCCGGTGAGGACTGTTGGAATTGTGAACATCAGAGTCTTGAATATTTTGAGTGTTATGGCGATGATTACGGAGGTGAAGATGACGAAAACCCGTTCGTCGATTGTGAACATGACCCCGGTGAGGAATGTTGGAATTGTGAAAATCAGGATCTTGAATATTTTGAGTGTTATGGAAGTGATTGTGGGGGGAGTAAGTGATAGGAACAACGACCATCCACCACGATAACATCCTCGGGCCCTATAACTACAATTGGGAGAAATAAATCGGTATTTGACATGGTCAAGTGGTCTATCATTACGCAGTTAATTATATCAATCTGCCTTCATGATTGAGGGTATCCTTAAAAAGCATATACAGATATGCATATTTGGTACGCTGTATGCAAACACGGAGGAGAAATATGCATATGGATCCTCTACTAATGTAAATACATGTATTGTTTGGGATGTATTTGCTGAAAAGGTCCAAATGAATTGTCGTTTGTAGAACTTCGGCGGACAACGTGAACCTGTGTAACAGTACGTCAGTGCACAAGCCTATCTAACATTACCGCTTATTATTCATACAATAAACGAATTGACAACAAAAACAAAACCCCATATTCAGTTACCATTCATTCCATATCAATAGCCTACATCGCATCCTCAAATTCATGATCTTAAAAACATATCGCCAAGCTCACAAATATGTCTTCAAAGAGCAGCTACCTCGGCCGAGAGTTCCACGTATAAAATCGTTAAAGATGGTTGGTAAAGATGTATTTGATATCTCTCCTTGGGGGGGGGGGGGGGGGGGGGAGTAGAGGAATATATATCTAATAAAATTATTACTGTCATCTGTCATAGCAATTTGCCACAATCTGGAGTTGACAACGTGTGTAGTTTAAGAAATTCCATATTGAAAGCCATGAAGCAATCTGATCATAAAGTTAAAAAGGTTTGATTACATGTTCGATCTATTAGCTTCAATAGAGTAGTTTTTGACTGGTAAAGCCGGAGGCGTATCTAAAGTGCCTTTCGCCGAACCGAAACCAAGAGCGAAGTTTTCTCACAGGTGGTTTATAAGGGGCGAGAAACATTGATTCAATTCAGCCTGAGCTTTTGTCCAAATCCGATAACCAAATGACCTAAGCACGGATACAAGGATCATCATGGAAAATCACTCGTTACATCTGATCTCAAAGATTGAGGAAGCCCCCACCCCCCCCCCAAAAAAAAAAGAAAAGAAAAAAAAGAAGGAAGGTATGATTGAAGATGTCAAGGGCTTTTTTGAGGTCTCGGCAAAAGGAAGACAAAAACATCTTGTTTCGGTCTCTTGGGTCTCCAAAATTAGCTAAATTCCCTTCAATGAGCGACAGCGAATCAGGGTCATCCCTTTTTACTGTACCGTAGACTCGCTGTAAATAGTAGGATGCTGTAACGTCAAAAGTGGATTATTGAGCCTGGAACGTAGGTTTTGAAAGACGTCCCCCAAGGATGGTTGTTCATGCGATAAGATAAGGGTAATAGCCCCGCAGAATCGCCAAGGCCACAAGACTGCTGCCCACAAATTCTGCAATACCAAATTCCACTCCACCATAGCAACACGCAGGATACGCCGACATCGCAAATTCACGACTCGACAAATCCCGACGCCAAAATACCACCGACCCCACGAACCCGCAAAATCTAATCAAGATGGTACGCCGAACCTCTCTCCCTTTTCCCGATGGTCATTTCGATGGATCAATTCTGCATATTTGGAGGGTGGAGTTCGATGGATGAACAAAAAGTACTAATGGAACTTTATTTTTCCCTTGCAATTTAGCCCGGTGTCAAGACAGGAACCCTCTGGAAGAAGTCCAAGCCCGACTTGGAGAAGCAGCTCGACGAGCTGAAGCTGGAACTTTCCAACCTCCGTGTCCAGAAAATCACCAGTGGTGCTTCTTCCAAGCTCACCAAGATGTACATACCCCCTCCAACAAGCAGCTCCGATATTCGACTAGGAAAGGGGAACATGGGGGAACATGAGTAAACTAATATATATGGGTTTACAGCCACGATGTCCGCAAGTCTGTTGCCCGTGTCCTGACTGTCATCAATGCCACTCAGCGCCAGCAGCTCCGCATCTTCTACAAGGGCAAGAAGTACCTGCCTCTCGACCTCCGCACCAAGAAGACCCGCGCTATCAGGAGGCGGTTGACCAAGCACGAGTCTAGACTCAAGACTGTCAAGGAGGGCAAGAAGGCTCTGCACTTCCCTAAGAGGAAGTACGCTATCAAGGTGGGTCAACTCTAAGAGATTGTTTGGAAGAAGGGAATTTGAAGGGGAATAAACGGGATCATCTTTGGAGAATAAGGGGAATATTCGGGTGGAGGGTGAAAACGGTTTTGGGGGTGGGGATTTCGATTTTGGTGAATGAGCGGAGTGCTAACGGTTTAATTTTCGGATACAGGCGTAAGCGGTGATCCTTTTTCTTTTCTTCTGGGATATCAAAACGGGGTAAAAATAAATAAAATCTTATGCTCGGTTTGTGGGGCGGGTGTACCTTACTGGGATTGCTTGCATGGATAATTTTTTTTCCGCCCAAAGAACCGAAATATACATGAAGCTTTTCTCCGGGTGTGAAATAATATTTTCCTCCTTTTTGTCTCAATTTTTTTTTTCGGTGTTAGGACAAGGGATGCAGATACAATCTGGGTTGGGATGGGTCTCTATAGCGTGTAAAATTGTCCACATTTATCAAATTTCCTTCCAGTATCCATTGCACCTTTGAATAAGTGCGTATCAGCTTACAATCCAAACTTATCATTAAGACTGTAGGCATTATTGTGGATTGACAATACTCGAGACATTGTTTAAAATGGTCAATCACATCGAGTGAGAGTACATGAGGATGCCCAAGAGGGGGTTGTGGTCCCCGAATCATCAAGTTTATTTCTATAAGTATCTATGGGCGGACAGGGGTACGTGTTCAGGTTACTTACACATGGTTTTGCGCGATCTAATATGTAAAGATCACTGGAAGTGACTTTTTATCCTCAAATCTAATCCGCCTTATTTACCTGCGATCGAGAGCTCTGAGATTTTCGCTAGCCCTTTCGCTTCCTCCTCTTCCTCTCTAGTACATCGTGTACAGCTGCATCTACCACCTAGGGGGCCCCAAGCATGTTCCTGTCGCTCCCGATAGTCCAGACTAATATCGCAGTAATGACTAAAACATTCTTCTCCCTTTTTCACAGCCACGACCTGTGTGTTGAGCTCTGCCTCTCTCCCAAGTGCGCGGGAGAACCCAGTGAAATTCACTTCACCACCGCACTCCCAACTGATATTAGGTTCGCATGAATGATTGAACATTGAGTAAAGCATGTGGACCTATATATAAAAACGTATCAGCACCTTCAACTTCTAGGGGAAGAAAAAACGTCTCGAGTGACGAACCGCGGCAATCTCGGTCCTCCCCGTCCTTTTGTGTACCCTTGCACTCGCAACACCGATAAACTTTGCCCATAGGGTCTGAATCACCCATAGATCAAAAAAGTCAACTGCATTTGGCTGAAAAATGTCCACATCCATCTCCATTAGCATTTGAATTGGACGAGTGACCTGGTTCGTGAAGTTGAATGGGAGAGCTTGCTGCTCGAGGGCAGTTGGTTTGTAGTCTGGAAAGGTTCCAACACGGTTAACACCGTAAAGATATTTAACCTCGGGCAGCTCGAGAGGATGTGTATCCAATGTTATCGCAGTTGCATAAGTTTTTAGCAACAGAAGCGAGTGTGCAGAGCTTGTGGAGATACTAGCATTGATGGAACGGTAAACCCAGCCGAAATCTCTACCGCAAAGGGCAGGATGATATCTTGGAACTTAAAGTTAGTATTTCAAAGAGCTTGGAAACTTCAGGAATAAGCTTTATTCACTTCTCCATTGCGTTCTCTTTGCATTTTTCTGAACACCACATGATTCCACTTTCTTCATCGCCCTCCCAGCAGTCTTCACATGTTTCATATGTGTCTCCAAGGTCTGCCGCGCAAAACTCGCACAGCCTCGAATACTCCGGATCCGAAAGCACAGTCAAAGGCGACATTTCCCTGAAGAATGTTTCTCCAATATAGATATCTTCTTTCGCATAGACACCGAGTTGCTTCTCTGAACCTGACACTTTGTCCGATAGCTCTAATTTGTTCAGAGGGTCCTGCCTCTTTTGTAAAATAGGTAGGTCCACAACCCTGATTTCCACCTTATCGGAGCACTCGGCCATTGTTTTATTTAACGATGCCACTGTCTCCGGGGCGTACCTGTCAGGCTCGTGGTGGTTCCAAGGGTAGACTTCCCTCCTGCAGCCGCCGTGCCTAAAGAGTATGTCTGGATTGAGTTTGAATCTAGGATCTTCTGTCTTCTTTTGCTCCATCGTTTGATGAATTTCATCTGTTTCGGCTTGGAAATTGATTGGTGCGGGCAAAGCTGCGGCATCTGGATATCGTTCGAGTCCCATTTTACAATATGTCAGAGCATCCATAAAACATCTTGCCTCTTTCAATGCCCGAGCCAGAGTGAACAAAGCTGTAGCCTCCATTCCGTCCACGGAGGTCTTCAGAAGCTTCTTAATTTGGTCTTCGGGAAGAACCCGCTCGGATAAAAGGCGAATATGAGAATATGTTGTAACGAATGCCTGCTCGCCTATTCCCCACTCACTATCGTCTTCCTCGTCGTCATATTCGCCATTCTCTTTCCGTGATATTATCGATCTATCTTGCACCGTTTCTCGAATAGCATCGCCGAGTAGTAGAGCTCGATACGCATCACCAGCAGCAAGGTCGGGATAACCAAGCTTAAGATGTACCTGCGAACGATCTACATAGGCGAGGATATTATAAGGAGTGTGCGAGAGGACCTCGGTATAGATTTTTCGAGCGACGAGAAGATCATTTCGAGCGAGAGCTGCTGCAGCCTTGTGGATAAGTGACTGTGAAGCAAGCAAATCAGGGTCGTCGAGGATTGAAGATCTGGAATTTGTATCCATTTTGGATCAAAGAGGTAAACTGCGAGGTTATATTTTGAGAAGTTGAATTTTTTTATTGTATTTTATTGGGGTTCTTTTTATGGAGGGGTTTCCTAGACAGATAACTTTTTTTTTCTTAGCACGTGTACCCACGAACCAGTGGTTTTTATGTGGTCCGAGCGTCATCGTGGTCAAACCTGTAAAATATAATGCCAAGATATGGTCGCTGCTGCTTATCTTGAACTACATGTATATGTACTTAAGTGGATATAATGATCTCGAATTTCTAATATTGGAGGTCATCTCGTATCGATGAAATCAAAAACAGCAGGAAACATTCCTGCCAACGAACGAAAAACACAGTGAATGATTAAAAAAATTCTGGTGCATATTTCTTTACATTAAAGAGGGCAAAATCAAAGTGTGAATGAAAACCGGGACACCCCTTAATCAAACTACAAGATCATGTTTGATTTAGCAAAATCATCATCGTATGCGCGCTGTTATCAGGTACTGGTTTTTTATCCGCTTCATTCTCCGTATCGTGAGAATATGAGTGGTGTCTTAACTTCCGATTTGGAGTGACATACATGTACCTCCTACATCCTATGGCAACCGCCTAGATATCCGTTCCCTGTCAAGTCTTGGGATCAGCATTATCCCATCGCTAAAAGCTTTCTGCAGGTATCTGGGTAAATACGACACACCTATTTAGGTATTTTAGGATACACCATGCTAAATCCCGCTTCCAAGAAAATTAAAATCGATGACAGCTCAAAAACCAAGTCTCTTTTTTGAATCATTGAAGTCATTATATCTCACTCGTTTGTACGTTAGGCGTAACGTGACTACATGTATATCGATAAGGACAAGTTTAATGTAGTAAATGTACCAGCCCCAGTCCCTTGGATTTGTCCCTTTGGACTAAGATATCGAGGAAATGTCCCTTGCCGATTCTTCTACGTGCTCTTACCATGTGCGCTGAGTACTACCTAGCATATTGCCAAGCGCCAGTAAAACCTTTACCATTGTGGATTGTGAAGCCAGATGAACACTCTATATCATTACGATAGATATTGACCGCCGAAAAATAGAAACAATATGGATATGTTGAATGATACTTAGCCACCAAACCAGATATAGTGTATATACATCAACCCGAATTAGAAGCAAGAAAAAACATAGATCAAAGAAAAGTCATATCTCTAACACTAACTAAGTACCTCGTTATATCAACACTATTGATTTTTTACTGAAGTTTTGCATTTTATCCCTCAGCTCACCCTCACCTTCTCTTTACCAGCCCTCATGATGAATAAATCTGCGCGTACGCTTCTAGTTGATCATCATACGCTAAAACCATCGCAACAAAGCCACAAAAGAAACAAGTACAGGGGAAAGAGAAAAGAGGAGGATCAAATAAGAAGAATAGAATGATGCGCTACATCCGATGCCTCCCCTCTGTCTCCTGGGCGTAATCCAAATGCCACGCAAACTATTGCAATCGCCCTTGATATCTTTAGTTCCTTCCTCGTTCATCTCGCACCACCTCTACCCTTTGGGCTTGCGCCCCCTTCTTTCCTACCCGGAGTCGGTCATCCACCAACAGCATTGATATCGTCTTCGCCCACGCTTCCCTCATCGCCATCGCTTTCTTCCGGCCCTTCACCATCACTGCTATATCCTGCGTCTACCGTAGTCTCTGCATGCCGGGTGGTTTCATCGAGGTCGGCCATTTGTTCGGGTTTGGCTCGCAACCATCCCATCCTGGGACCGCTTCTCGCACGTTCCGAAACCCGGAAACCGTATATTCGCATCTCATACTGCTTGCCCTTCCCAAGACCTGGCGCGAGGTTCGATGCCAATACCCCGTTAATTAATGGGGCATTGGCACTGCTTGTGCCTTTTCTGCCACCTACAGAGTTGAGGGACGAGCCTGATATTATTTCCTTGCGACCGTTGCCAGATACATCAAGTTCCGGGAAGGTCATTAGAAAAAGCGATGCGAATGTTGTGCCAAAGTATGCCCCATCAACAGTTTGGAAACGCGAATTAGGTGGTACATAGATATCACAGCAGGACGGACAGAAAAGCTTTACTGTTTCCACGCCGGGAGTGTCGGAATATCCACAAGGAAGGACACGCGCATTATTGCAGAATACTCGCTGACAGAAGCCGAAATGGTTTGAAAGGTATTTTTCGTACATGACCTGGATACCTTGTCGCGAGGTGATGAATCTTTGGTGAATGAGGCCATAGAGAAGTTCTGCAGAGTTTTCGATCATGGAGACATCCGAGGCGACTCGCATATGACCGGCGCGACGACGGTAGGTGGGCTGAGCGCCAGGCTGTTCGGACAGTGACTCAGATGCCGATGCAGCGGAGTCAGAGTCGTCTTCAGGCTCCACATCAAGAATCATTTCAAGAGCTTCCTTATACCTGTAGCAGCAGGAGCTTAGCTTAATTCATGGGGAAAGGGGATGGATGCAGGCAATGGATGAAAACAACTAGTCGGGGCAAACGATGTAGTGGGTAGATCTAGTAAAGACGAGTCTTCGGGAGGATCTTTTACACGGAGATATGCATATAGAGAACAACTCACATAGGGACCATAGCACCGAGTCCTGTCAGATTGAAATCATCTTCGATGAACTCTTCGCTGACTTCAGCAAAATATTCGTGTCCAACCATGTTGCAAAAGCCGCTGATCCAAGACTCTTCATCCTCCATATCGTCTTCTTCTTCCTCCTCTTCTTCTTCCTCTTCGGAGTGCTCTTCCTCCTCTTCGGAGGCCGACTGATCCGAGGAGTGTTGTGAGTGAGAATGTATGGGAGAGGCCGGCGGCGGTGGAGCGTTAGAAGAAGTCGGGGGGTTCTGGGAGGAGAGAGGATGGGAACGGGGTTGGGCTACAGCCAGATTAAGATAAGCACACACGGGCGATACATGTCAGCCTTGATATGGCGAAAGCCTAGCGGGAAAGCTCATAACCACACGCGAAGAAAAAAAAAAAAGGGGGGGGGGGGGGGGTATAGAGATGTGGGGGACGGTGAAGGGGGGGTAGGATACATGTATATGTATGGATAGATGGGGCAAGGAGGGGCAGCTAGGTAGCAGGGTAGCAACCAGGATAACGCACCGTATCTTCCCGCCAATTCGTCCTCCTTCAGTCTTCCACTACCGGGGGTAGCAGAAGTAGCAGCAATGCCGGCCCGACTACTTTCTCCTTTTACTCCCGGCAGCGCGGTTCGATCTCTCTTGACAATCCCAATTCCTCGATGTATGAGGGGCCCGCGAGCGGCAGTTACTCCACTACGTCTATAAACTGTGCTTTTTAGTAGGTCAAGATCGTACTCTGGTTCGTCGGCCTTGCACTCGCCGACTTCGAGCGGCGGCTCTACAACTTCACTAGGTTGTTCTGATAGTGGCAGTATCTTTGCGGAAGGCTCGGTGACGGCTGTGGCAGTATTAACGATGGCGACAGCAGCAGCACTAGTAGAGGCTGCTGATATTTGGGGTGGCAGTGAATGTGGTTGTGGAGACAAGGTGATGGAGATGGGAGCCTTCTTGAGAGGCTCTTGGTTGTTTTCGTCGTTGTTGTCGACGAGCGCTGCCTTGCAGTCTATTTTCTGGCGGGTATCCAGCGTCTGTTGCGTGTCCGTCGCCCTGGCGCGTGGCGGCAAGGGGAAGTTGAAGCGCGGGTTTTCTACGTCGTCGTTTTTCTTCTGTGGCTGAGTCGTCGTTGTCGGGTATGTGGGCGAGTCGGGCAGCGGTTGAAGATTGCGGGCGTCGGGGTAGTTCACGTCGGGCAACCGCTGCTCCTGTTGATGTTGCTCAGTGTTGCTTTCAATAGTCGGCGGCGGGGTTGGTGGCATAGGTTTGTGGGTGTGAGAATCGTTCCTACTTGGTAACAACTGTGGCTTGCTCTCAGGCTGCTGTCCGGCTAGTGAAATGGACTGCAAGGGGTTGTAACTTGTTGTGTCAAGGGTGTGGTTCAGCGTGTGTAATGTTTTTTTCTTGCGTCGACAGCAACTGGATCTAGCTTTAAATTATATTATTTGAAATTAGAGACTTGTAAGGAAGATAAAGGGGAGGAATACTATGTAGCATTCTACAGTAGCGATCGACATATCAACATACATCTAACTAATGAATCAACCTTTTTGATTCTTGTCACTACATACATACATGGACAATGTGGCGCCAAATCCTCCTATCAGGTTCCTTTGGGTTTTCAGCGTCGCGTTGTGCCTTTGCGCACTTGTACTGTGGCGCATGAACTAAACTCAACCTCATCTCGACGTGCACGTACCACCCTTATCGAGGTTGCGGTCGGCGATCGTAAGTTGTGAAGATATGGACAGATATTATTACAGGTACATGCTTTCATTGGACTGACTGCCTTCCGATCTCAGCTATAGCCAAGAGTTTATACCTCGTGAACCACCGTCACCGTCACGCAGTGTGTTGGACCGTTCCGATTCTTTGAAGACAGAACTAGGACCTAACCAAAAAAAAAAAAAAAAAAAAACCAAGGATACATTACCGTGATACCTCCACGCAAAATCAATATCAGACCCGAAAATGCCACCTAAAGGCTCTAGTCAAAAGCCAAGGCCCCAGAAATCTGCAAAACAACAGAAACAGGATCAACGCCGATCCGTTTCCCCCTCAAAAGTGCCCTCAAACTGGCCCTCTGAAATATTATATCTCTATCGCCCAAAACTATCAAGATCCTTACCTGCATCAACGATCTCACAATTGAGCCTCTCCCCCACATCACCTACTTCAATATCACGGCCCAGTCCACTTGTCAAAATCAAGAAGATCGATGCTCCTACACACCCGGCCAATGGCCAATTTGGTCTCTTTGCTGCTTCGAATCTGCCCGCAAAATCATTCATCCTCGACTACCTAGGCTATGTCCACGATTCAACGGACACAAACGAAAAGTCTGATTATGATCTCTGTCTTGACCGGGAGTTAGGTGTTGGTGTAGATGCCCAAAATGTGGGAAATGAGGCAAGAATGGTTAATGACTATCGAGGTGTGCCAGGTTTTGAAAGGCCAAATGTGGTATTTGAGACCAGGCGGGTTGGTGGCGGTGAGAACGGGGAGTTGAGGATGGCATTGTGGGTCGGTAGTAAGGATATCAAGAAAGGTGTTGAGCTGTGCGTAAGCTATGGGAAGGGGTTTTGGCAAGGGAGAATGAAAGAGGAGGAAAGCGCCGAAAATAAAATTGACAAGGAATAGAGCTCTAGTATTGGGAACTTATTATCTACATTCTCTGGTCAACTAGCTAATCCATCACTATCACGGGTATGCCCAGTTAAGACTGTCAAGATTAAATATCCAATGAGTCTTACTAATAGGCATGAATCAGACCCTCTACTCAATTAGCATATACATAAGCATAGATCAACAAACCTAGTATATTATGTAACTACACGATGCATATATGTCTATTGCTAACACAATAAATCTTGATGTAGTATGGCCCCGGCCATCACTTGAACTGGCCTAGTACGTTTGTAGTAGTTACTTACAAAAGGCAAAGGCTCAGCCAATCGCTACACGGTCCCAATCTGTTTCGCGAGCCATACGAGAGACTAGTACTATCTAATAGTGAACCGAAAAAGTGCTGGTACACATACCGTTGTATTATTAAGGCCAGCCCTATAGCTATAGCCAATACAAGCATTTTCCGGCCTTTGGCCGGAGTAGGAGCTGTTATGGCTTAAACAATATCAGTTTACCAACGCTTAAGATCACTGAAACCCCAAGATGCCCTGTGCACATATCTGATATACTATTTGGTTGACTCAAGGTATGTTGGAACTAATATCTACTGGCTGACTCAAACATATTTGATAGAATATCTACTAACTCCAACATATTTGATAGAATATCTACTTACTGACAAACATATTTGATAGAGAAAAAGAAAACCCCTCAAACCTGGCCAATCAAAACCTTTAAATAACACATTGCATATCGGTATATCTATATACTTATTAGATATGTATACAGCAAAATCTATCATAATTACAATTCCACCCCCGTGGTGGTCGAATTCCGCTGGAATTTAGAGAGAGGCCTTTGTTAGCAAACTACAGGTATCGTTCCCTCCAACCGCTGGAAGTTTGGTAGGGATAGAATTTCGAGAGGGTGGAATTATGATAGGTTTCTCTGTATATAACGTTAGTAATATGCAGATATATCCCGATGCGTATTGGCACGTTTATGACTCATGTGGTTCAAATTATAAAATTTATATTACTTTACATCCGTCTAGGTCTTCTTTGATGAACCCTATCATATCAGCTTATCTACTACCTAGTGGGTGATCTAGAGGGGAAGTTTTTGTGTGGAGGCTTTCCCCACGTGCACCGTGCACCGTTAATTACATAATATTAGTGTGGCGTTGAACTGCAGTATTCTACTCCGATTACCCGGCTTTGACAGATATCCTCAAACTCGATCCTAACCAAATCTGTTCCCCTAAACCTTCGCATTCACTCGAATTGGTAGAATCTAGCTCTCCATAGTAGAATACTATCCTAAACCCTTTACACCTTCAACGACTCACTCACAACAATCAATACCCATAACAACGGTAATGGCTAGCTTCTTCTCAGATATATGGCTTTCCGTATTTGAGCCCGGCACCAATAAGTCCCTTGTCATCGCAACCCATATATCCTTTGCACTACTTCAAGTAGTATTACTTGCCCTTCTTGTGGCCACGGAAAGCGGACATTTCGTATTTTTGAGCCTCATCTGCGGGGGCCTATGGGCGGCGATTACGTGGTTTATCAAAGAGGTCGAGGCGATAAAAAAAGCGGAGGCACTGGAGAAGGAGAAGGAAGGGGAGGGGGAGAGGATAAATGACAGTGAGGAGGTCAAGAAGGTTAAATAGAGATTGTTTGTGATGTGGGGGGTGATTGTAATAGTTAATATTACAATCGCTGTGGGCACAGCTTCCTCAATATCATCATAAACACGGAAATTAATTGAGAGCTTTTTAGCACAAAATACTCGAAGTATCAATTTTATCGGGACCCGATTCTCGGCATATCATCTATTCAGCGTTAAGATTTATAGCATAGATTTAGATTACCGAATTATAGATACCATTAATCTCACTTTCGGTCTTTATAAATGGGGTCAAGTCCTGTAAAAGCTGGAGTTCGCATGGAGTCCAATGTAGGTATGGGGCTGCACAAAACCTATCATAAATCAATCTCACAGTGGTAGACTATTGCTAGAAATATCGTAGAGATAGAGCGAGTTAGATAAAGCATTTATTAAAGTAGAATCGATGTTCTACTATGGTAGATTCTAATATACAGCGGTGGGTAATAAGTGATGGAACGCCCTGAGATACGGTTATACCTGTAAACACCGTATATTGGTATCTAGCGTCTTACCCAAAACAGGTATCACTGTCTCAGCCCGTTCCATCACTTATTACCTACCGCTGAAATACATCCTATATGCAAACTCGATTGGTGAACTATAATTATCATGATGGAACATGGCTTACTCTTTACAGTGTATACTTTAACGTCGAAATGGGGGGGGAAATAAGCGTTAGTAAAGGCCCAAATAATCGTTATATAATTGTTATTTAATCGTTATTGATGGATAACGCTTATTTCCTGTATAATTGCTTAATAAGCTCTTGGATTGGATAATTATTAGCTACAAAAACGATTATTTGATAATAATAGTTATGCCCATGATAGTGGAAAAAAGAAAAAGGGGGAGTTGAACCCAGAGCCTTGCAGGTAGCATATACCTCATACTACCCACTGAGCCATGGGAGAACTGAAATTCCAGTGCTGGAACTCATATAGAGGCTAGATAGCCGATAAAATGCTAGTAAAATTCGAATTTTAAGCGTTATATAAGCCTTATTCACAAAAAAACCATGTTTGATGAATAAGAGAGATCTGGTATAAGGGTTTATAATAATCATCTAAATTTAATGCATATAGGTAAAATGGGGCTTATACAAGTCTTATTTTAGGCAGACCCTTAGAAAAAATAGAGCTTTAAATCCAAATAATGCTAAATCTACCAAAAAACGCTTATTTAATTAAGCCTTGATTGTAGTAAATCGTTACTGGAGGCTTATTTTTTTCCCCATTTCGACGGTAATGTATACATAATATACATTTGTCCCTCTTTAGGATACAACCAGTAGTGGAAGGACATGGAAAATATCTCTCAAGACTACATGTAGACGAGAGGGGGTTTTCTTTTGATACACTTTCCGATTTCTCGATCAATCCTCGGGAAAGACAGAACGTTACCTAGGGATTTAATCCCACAATACCCTGCCAAAATAAAGGAAAAAAGAAAGGGGGAAAAAAACAGCGTAAACAAAGCAAAACTCCCAACTACCTCTAAATAGCCTATAAGAATATGAGTTTAATCATCACCCGTCAGGTCTACAACGTCCACATCCCTCCACAGCGTCTTTCCTTCACGGATGCTCCAATCATCTTCGATGAACTCCCAATGACCATCCAGACTTTCTCTCAATGCAATCCTTTTCGTAGTCTTGCCATTAGCCGCGATGGGCCCCTTTTCCAACTTTGCGGACGCAGTAGCAACTTCGCTGCATGTTATTTTGCTTGCCACGCTTCGTCTGGCTTGATCTTGCGTTGTCTTCTTATGAGCAATGGGGGCGGTGGTGATGTCCAACTCGTCATCTGATATTTCCACTTGAATATCTTGCGTTATTTCTATGGAAATACCAGTACCTGTGACGATATCCGAGTTCCTGTTTACAATATCCGCCCCAGTTCGCGTTGTTACTTCTTTAGAAGGAGGATAAAAGCTAGCATGATCTACGATCTCATCTTGAACTTCCACTGGGGGGTCATCCACCGTCTCTATAGGAGAAGTGACGATACCTGCCGTATCAGAAGCGGAAAAAACCCTCCTCAAAGGTGAGGTAGGGCGATGACGACGTGCGACAGGAATCGGAAATGGAACGGGGGAAGTGAGGATGTATTTCTTCTTCTCTTTGAGCATTTCTGGTGACTGCTGCTCGGGATCTTTCGTTTTCACTTTCCTTCCTTTCCGCTTTGTAGTGATATTTGGGCTTAAATGGGCGGACGGCGAAAAATCGAGAGTACTGTCTATGCTTTTCTCGCCGACATCATATTCATCATCTCCAACTAAGTCCACTACCTGGAGACGTCCAAACGCAGCCGTTGGTGTATGTGGCGGAGATAATTCTATGTTAGGAAATCTATCTGGCGAAGGCGTCCTTATTTCGGGCGTTTCATATTCTTGAGTTTGTGTGCTTGATCGCGGTGGGGCCTCTGTGATACCAGATGATCTATATCTCTTAGTGGGTGTATTGGGTGGTGAATTATTGGTACATAAATCATCAATGTCAGGAGCAGGAGCTGGTGACGATTCAATCGTTATTGTCTCGTATGTTGGGCGGGTTCGAGGTCCCAATGATGGTGGTGAATAAGAACGGGACGGACAAAGCAAATCATACAAAGGCTCCGGTAATGACTCCTCAAGTATGTGTATAGAAGAGTGGTGATCTAGAGGTAGTTGTGCATCTTCAAGGGCGGAAGGCGTACTGTAAGTCCTTCGGAGATTTGAGTGATCTCCATCAGATCCCTCAGAACTCTCCTCTCGCTGGCATTTTGTAGGCTTCTTTTGGAGCTTTGAAGCTTTAGGCCTAGAACTCTCAGCCGTTTCCCTCAGCCCCAGCCCTTCGACAACATATTTCCGAGTGATTGAACGACTACGCCTGCGTTCAGCAAAGGGTTCCTCTGGTTCAGACGCATCACAAGACCTTTGTGATTCAGCGAATGTAAGAGCATCCAAATCCTCGCAGATTCTAATTTCCGGCTTTTTTCCTCTGGACTTTTCCATGTCGTTGGGTTTTGAAATACTCATATATTTCAGAATAGATCCTGATGCAGTCCCCTCCTTGGGTTTAGCTTTGGTCTTTGTCGGAGCTTTCTTAGGTGCTTTTGGATTAGAAATCTTAGGCGTTTCCCATTCTTCAATCCGTTCACCGAGACTTTGCCGAATAAATAGCTCCTGAATCCATACTCTCTCTGTGGCGAAAATATCGTAATCTTTTCGCTTTCTCACACCGTCCTCATCTGGATCTTCGTCTTCCTCCTGCTCTGATACTTCATCTTCCTCTTCTGCATCCATGTCGATTTTAATGACTTCCCCTGGGATGAAAGAGATTCGTAATTCCTTCAGTCCACCAGTTGAAGAATGCTCCCGCTTTCCATGAAAGCCTTTTACAATAGTGTTAAGCTCGGCTCCGTCCTCCCCATCAGCAAGTCTCCTGGACAGTATTGCTGGTGCAAGCGTCCTGACAAACGCAGCAGCACCACCTTTGCCTTTCCACTCAAATGCATATCTGACTGACTCCCGCAGTCGAAATAAATCCACATTCCCGTCCCATGCGATTTTTCTTCTTAGCTTCTCCACAGCTTCCTCGCTTGAAACCGCAGGATTCGTGTAATAACCTAACACCATCTTATCCGGAAAATCCTCCGGAATTTTGATCACTTTATTCTTCCTCCGGAACCATCCACTTTTATTCGTCTCGAGTTCGAATGATAACCGCTCTCTCCATTCTCTGAAGCCATCTTCGTCATCTACTTCGAGGTTGCAAAGCGCCTCCCCGAACCCTGCCTTTGCGGCCTCCACTGCGGTCCTGATTCCACATTTTGGTACGCCTTCAGGTATATAATCCCCACCGCTCATCAGTGCGACCAGTATCATTCCCTTCGGCGTGAGACCGCTCTCCAACTGGACAGTTTCACTATTATACACCGTGATATGTGTGGGTGTCGACTTACCCGCCTTTCCCTCGCCTGACCAGTTTCGGAAGGTAATTCCACAACCAAACATCAAAGTATCCACATCTTCGCTCATAACGGCGTCAACAACGCCATGTCGTTGTAGGAGTGCACATTCTGCTTCTGCTTCTCCCGGGGCGTCATGGTATGGGAATCCAAATAGCTTTAAGTATGATTTGGTATTTTTCTGCAAGGACGGTATCACTTGTGTATTTGTCTTGTGGTTCCGTTTGAAAACGGGACGTTTGCGACCATCGAACACAAAAAGAGGTGTTATGTTCAGTTGGTAGAGGCGAAGGAGGCGGTAGTAAAGTGTTCTAAGAGCTGGGTTTGTTCCGCCTTATTGGTTGCTCTTATGTCAGTTTTTACGCTTTTTCGGGGAGATGCATTGCATGCCGAAAACAAATGTACCTTTTCCAGACTGAACTTGAAAGGACCAGATTGACGCATCAACCGCAAGCCGTAAACGTCTACCCGTAGCTTCGAAGTGGTCTGAAGCGACTTTTGCCAATGAAATGCGTTCTCCAGGTCCGAGTTCGCTATAAAGTCTGTTGTTTTGGGGTATCAGTATGCGACTTTTCTTTCGGAGGATGCATAAGAATTGCTATGGCATACCCTGTAATACCCATTGATTCCTGGTTCCAAAAATATCGACCAAAATTTACTCCTGTTTGAATCGTGTGGACACTCGAGGTTCAGCGTCGTTCCTTACACAATTGTTGTATGTATGTGGAAGACGCATTTGTTTGCTATGGCAACGAGGGAGTTACAGGAGGCAACCACAATCTTATCAGATTTGATCAAGTATATTCACAAAGATCACAAGCCAGCACTCGCGATAAACATACCTAATGAGATCGTTTCCGGTGAAGTTAAATTTCTCCACTCATTTTCTTTGATACAACTTAGACACACGGCTGAAGAAATAGATTTTAACGTGGGGTAGGCTAGTCATGTACTTACGTATTACGTATAGTCCTAGGGTAGATATAAACAACTACATGACTCTAGGTGCATGTATACATCGTCTCCAGGCAAGCTCCTAGAAAGTGCATATACTCTACATACATATAGTCAGCAACCCATCTATTTGTGATTTACATGTAGTTTCTTGATCCGCCCAAGCTACATATGCCCATCAGCTTAGTGGACATGGTCAATAAGTACTAAGGGATGTACGTGTAGTGAGGGTGTATCTAAGCACATGTTTTTAAGGAAGGCTTTTGGGGGGGTACATACGATTTTAGCTGCAGGGGTACAATAGGAAACATTAATATTGGTATTTGTAGACATCCGAGTTCCTTGTGCCGAAATTGGACAAGTGGGCTTAGGCCACAGCTTCTGCAGTCTATGCTCATTACTGTGTGTGAGCTCGAGTACCTACATGTACATGTACCTGCTACACACATGTAGAGTAGAGTAGTTATCCAGTCTCACCAAGTTTAGGCATGCCAAGTTAATCTCACCAGATCAGTGGCCTTAGATATTGGACTATTCCATTCAGTTCAATTCCATGGGGAATTTCAATATTCTCTCGTTAGGTCGGGATCGGAACACCGTAGATAGAGAGAACATAATTTACTGTAGTGTGCACGGGGAAAAAAAGCAGAAGCAAAAGAAGAAGCAAAGATCTTTCCGCGGCAACGGCCTCCTTCTTGAAACGTTGCCAAATCTAACGGAGTATACCGAAATTTACAATGTTGAGGCTGACCGGTGAACAATACAAGTAGAATGGGAAAGCCTCATGCTCAGGATACATTGCCGAACATGTTATCAATACGTTAACATTGAAATTCCACGTCAATTTGTTGCTCAATATACCAGGCGATATATTAGAACCAGCACAGTGAAGGGAGATTTCGGTTGAGAATCATACTTGTAATTTACCGTGTCTGTGGGGGAATCCGGAGAGTGGTGTGGCTGAATCAGCTGCTTTATGGTGCTCGGTCACGCCACAGCAAATTTCATAATCCTCCCCCTAACCCACCCCTTTCTCTGTTGATGCTGGCTGCGATAAATACTTTATCTCCACCATAGCCCTCTTCTAAGCTTTCCCTTTCCCTCTATCTATCTGTCGTCCGCCACCCCCGAACTTTCCCCCAACCATGTCCTACTCAAGTCTTCCCGTTATCTCGATCGCCGAGCTTGAGAAACACAAATCCTCAAAGTCATGCTACGTTACAATTGGAAACAGGGTCTACGACATTACCCCATTCTTAAGCGACCATCCAGGTGGTGAAGACTTGATTATTGAGTAGGTCTACCTCAACAAGGCTTCGCCAACAGAACCCCTTTGAATCTGTCCATCCCAACTGACAATTGCGATTGTAGTTATGCGGGCAAAGATATCGCGGCGATCCTGGCGGACGAAGTTTCCCACACTCATTCAGAAGCCGCCTACGAAATATTGGATGATTACCTTATTGGTCTCCTCCCAACAGAGATAAACAGAATGCCCCCATCGCCCCCTGGCACTCCTCTCAGAGGCGCAACACCAAGGGCTGGATCACCAAGTCCCTTAACTGGCATGTCCAGCGAAGAGGAACTCTCAATACCAACCGACATTTCTGCTGATTATAAAAAGCATAAATTCCTCGACTTAAATCGGCCGCTGCTGATGCAAGTATGGTCTAGTGGGTTTTCTAAAGAATTTTACCTCCAGCAGGTGCATAGACCACGTCATTACAAAGGTGGAGAGTCAGCGCCTATCTTCGGAAATGTGTTAGAACCACTCAGCAAAACTCCGTGGTGGGTTGTGCCGATGGTTTGGTTACCTTGTATATGTTATGGAGTATTTGAGGCGCACAAGGGATTGCCAAATTATGGTGTCCAGGCTGCGTTTTTTTCGGTTGGTCTTGCACTGTGGACATTGATCGAATATGTGCTACATCGATGCCTGTTTCACTTGGACGAGTATGTTTTCTCTTGTAATCTTTGCAACTCCAACTTTACCGAACACTCTACTAACGATGGTTTTCCCCATACAGGAAAATGCCAGATAACCGTGTATGCATTACAATTCATTTCCTGCTTCATGGAGTTCATCATTTTCTTCCGATGGACAAACTTCGTCTTGTTATGCCTCCAACATTGTTTGTTGTACTCGCGACACCATTTTGGCATTTGGCGCACTTTGTGTTCTACTGGGACTGGAACGTGGCCGTTAGTGTTTTCTGTGGTGGTATCTTCGGATATGTTTGTTACGACCTGACCCATTACTTTTTGCACCACAAATCGTAAGTAAATGTCTACATACGGAAATACCATAATTACAACTATAGCTAACATACACTCCCAGCCTCCCATCATACTACAAGGAACTGAAAAAGTACCATCTCCAACATCACTTTGCCGACTACCAGAAGGGATTTGGTGTCACTTCAAAGATTTGGGACAAAGTCTTCGGAACGGAGTTGATGTATGGTGGCCCCGCTCCTTTGAAGGAGGAGTAGAAAAGTGCGTTTCAAAAATCAGTAGAGAATTCAATGGGATTCGGGCGTACCTGCACCCGGGTGACATGTCAAGCACAGGGTTGGAGTAATGGACATCATGCGACGGCAATTGTGGCGTCTGCTTTTTTGTGGTTTTTTTACTAATGACGAACACGGCTTTTTGTAATTGTTTCCGTACTTGTTTTTCTTCTCTGTCTATATGATTTTCAGTTTAATGCTTAGAGTATAACATTAGAAATTGCCGACCTCTCATAATAATGGATCGAGGCAATTATTATACACTTTAATTTTCTTGTGGGATGCGAAGATTAGGGACTTAACGGTAATCGGCCAAGAAAATTACGTTTTATATGTATCTAGAGTCGGAAGGAATAGAGGACTCCTGTTACTCAAGATATCCACTCTGATAAACTTCATCCCTTTCCATAGGAATATTTGCTGTTGAGCATGGAAAGTTACGGAATCGGAATGTTAAGGACTTCTCCGTGGACTCATGGAAGTGGAGTGGAATTAGTTAACATCCTCTTGCAGACGCTGCGTCATGTGTTTTTTCTTACTCGGCCGGAAGAAACGGAAACACAACATTCCGAAGAAGTGGGGTGTGCGAGCTTCCGGACCCAAGGCAATCCGAAATTCTGTTTAAAGCATGTGATTTGTTTGGAGAACCGAACTGTTACTGACTGGTAAGACTGAAGCCAGGTTACTACAGTTAGATACATGTAGGCATATCCTGTTGAAAGAAAACTTGGCATTCGTATTTTCATGTATTGGTTTTTGTGGTGACAACACGCATCACGCATCACTAGGTATCACTCACTCCGGAGTACCTTGACTACATGTACATACATGTACTTAAACAGGTACATGCATGTCTTCCGGAGGTAGGAGTCACGGTCTAAAAGCCACCCCACCCCAATTATATAAATGTGGCTGTCAAAAAGAGCGAGCATGTCTACAAGGCGTCAATGCCGGTTACTAGGATTTGTGAATGTGGGTGTGCGTAAGGATACGAGAACTGCGTCTTCCTAGTCCTAGGCGTCGTCATACAATCTCTGTGAATGACACGTGTCGTGGTCCGTAAGAAGTAAGTCAATGATGCTTTCGCCGTTGGAATTAAGGAAGACCTTTATACAGTGCTCCACTTGGGGAGACGTATATGAAAGTGATTAGAAATTTCAAGTATGACACTGTCGTCAAAACTGATAACAGACATTGAGAATGTCTCAAGTTATCCTGGCCTGATTTTCAGATATACATGTAAAGATTAGCCGGTTACACATACTTGCAGGTACTTTCCAACAGACTATACGTATACTTGTACGTACTATATGTAGGTACAATTAACTACTATACGTATACTATTGAGTGCGCTGTATTAAGCACTACAGAGCTTCTTTCCAGATCGGACGAACGGATCCCCGCAGAGATGGAGTATTTGAATATGGCAACCTGTTGGATTAGGCCTTCTGAGTTCATCAACAGCCAGAAATACCAAAACATCCGATAAAATTTGCAGATCAGATTTAAACTCTAGAGAACGTTTTCAGAAATGGATGTTTCAAGCATCGAACGCCGCATCCAGTCATGAATCGGGGAACACTTGGTAACGATTTAGATATCCTTCACTTGCTAGCTACTAGATGTATATTTGTCTTGGTTCTGAGAACATGAGATCGAGACGTACCGCTATCTGCGTTAACATGTGATTCTAGACAAAATCCACACATGTATTCATTTTTCTCCCCAAGGTAAATGATGATATTAATAGAGTTGACAGTCGATTCCTGGATTATCATTTCTGATGTCGCTTTAGAAGTTTGAAGCGAGTGATAACGGGTGACTACATGTACGTACATGTCATGTAGCTCTCCCGCTAGTCTAGCATTTTGAATCATGATGGTCCGTGCGCGCCAATCAACTAACACCAACAACCCCACCAAAGAGCCTCATCTACCCCCCCCCCCCCCAATTTCCGCTCTCCAACACCCCATAAAGCCACGATGGATCGACGCATGGTACTTATCCCTCCCACTCTACCTCGTGTCTTCTCGCTCCAAGCTGATGACCGCGCTCCGCCAGCTTTCCCGAGAAGATGAGGCCCAGACGGACACAGTCGTGACCCGGGAGGATCAAAACAACATCAACAAGTTCTCCACTCTCCACCAGAAACAAGGAAT